TAGGCATGCATTTGCCTTAGCTTTTCCGGTTTTTACGTCCTTGTGATTTTTTATTTGAGCCATTGTTGGATTGCCGGGTAGTGCGGGAACTTCATAGTCTTCTTCAATCGCCTCTAATAAATCTAAAGCATCTAGGTAGGCTTCCATTCGTACTTGCCCGGATGTTATAATTTTTGCCATTGAATTTTGGTGGTGTCATTCTTGAGAAGCTTGAATCTCCTTACGTGCTTGACATTACGGTTTGAAATATGGTGTTTGGTGTCTCTCAACTCACTTGAAACACACTCTAATTTTTCACTCACGGATCCCTCAAGAATAAAGCTCGATACCAATTGTTGGTTAATTAAAAGTAGAAGGGAAGAATAGTCGAATATGGCTACTCGACAAATGTTGCAAGAGAAGTTGTTTTTATTGAATCACGGAGCTTACATTTATAGAGCTTAGAATGAAAGAATGCTAAAACTTAGGAAATAAATACGTGATCCACAAAGTACTCAACTTTGACTAACTAATTCCTATGGAATAGGAACAGATTATTGACTAAGACTAATTCGAGAATCAAACAAAATAAAGACACGTGCGGTACTCCAAAAGCATAGTTTTAACACTTAGGATAGTAGAGTTTGGAGAGGAGATTAGACTTTGAGGGCTTTAGTGGTCGTGAGGCTCTCGGTTGGTGAATGAAAATGGGTTTGAGCGAGTTGTTTGGCGTGGAGCTTAGCTAGAGAAGGGTTGTATATGTGGTTCTTTGGAGAGGAGGAGATCGAGGATGGTGTTGTTGTTGCATTTTTGAGGAAAGAACAACAAGCTTATAATGGGTGGCGATGACGAGTTAGGTTTTGGGTGAGAGGAAATGGGGTTTGACAATGGTCGATTAACGACGGCGAGAGAGGAAGATATAGCGAGTAGATGGTGGTTCATGAAGGAGATAGTGAGAGAGAGGTTGTTGGCGGTGGAGGAATGGGTGGCGGTTATGGTATGTTTTTTGGAGAGTGGTTGCTAGGGTTTTTGAGGAGGAAGATGAATAGTTGCCACTTGTTAATCCATAGAGAGGAATTTTTTTTTAGTGGTGGATGACTCTTTGGGGTTTCGGCGAGCGAGAGAGAGATGGCGAGTTGGCGGTGTGGTAGGAGGGAGGCTGCGAGTGTAGATGTCAAGTGGTCGATTGTGATGAGAAATTTTGATGGGAGAGTGGTTTTTTTTTTTTTTTTTTTTTTTTTTTTTTGAATTTTTGAATTTTTGAAATCATAAATCAATTAAAATTGAAAAACATATCATCCAAACCGAGAAGAATTTTAATTTTTAGCCAAGTGAAATCTCATATGACTTTTAATCCTTTCGTCTACCTATATGTCGTGTTACGTCATTTGAAATCGAGATTTCATTTAAAAAGAAATTTACGTGCTAATATGGTTATCAAAACTTTAATTCATATGTTTAAAATTCATAATTTTATAATAGATTAAGCATTCTAAAACATCATGCCAAACTTCCCGTGTGTTGTGTCTCACTAGGTTTCACCAGACAAAATTATGCACAAGTGCAACGACTGATTAACCGAAGCTAGAAATTTTGAAAATTAAAAATTCTAGTAAACGGGGGTTTGCAGACTGAAAGTCTGAAACAAATCGTTAGGTCTCCCTTTGTGCTCAAATCTTTAGGTTCTGATTTAGACTGGTGCTGGTGGACCTGCTGGGCCTCCTTCTTCTAAATCAGAACTTTTCCCATTCAACCATACAAAATAAACTTATTCTGTTGTTGAGGGCCCCCCACCACAATAAATCAGCCAATTAAATTGGTGAATATTGTTGTATCAATAAATCTTATCGTAGATGTTGACTAGACACAGGTGGGCAACATGGAAAACTCCTGGAGAACATGTATGTACAAATAATATTATATATATAAACATTAATTAAAAGTTAGTTTCAGTTAAACCAAGTTATGGTGATATTACCTAGCGAAGTGAATTAGTTGGATCAGGGACAAGCTTCAAGCAGTGAATAGTTGGGCTGGTGTGTCTATCGTTATTCTCAGTCCTTGATTCTATGGAATTTTATGGAATGACCAAACTAACTTCTTCTTTTTTGACATTTCAGAATTTTAAATCTAAATAAAAATACTTACACTTAACATAAAACAAAATAATTACATGAAATTTAATATAATTAATCATTTTCTCGTATTTTGATTTTATTTATTTAAATAGATAGTTGATTTCAAAATTGGTTGTAAAGTCTTGTAATTTTATTGTTATTTATGCTTCTTTTTTTAATACAAATAATGTCTTTATACTAGTATTATCATAATACATTGCTCTTACGTATTAATTAGTAAGATACTTGTTTATACTATGACAATTTTAAAGTTTTCCTAAAAAGTGATGCTCGATACTACACAAGCAACGCAGTTGGAATTAATATATAAATACGTTGTTTTTCTTATTCTTTTTTCATATGGGATATTTACCACTCACATCTGTACCTAAGAATATACGGATACAACGAGCACAAAACATGCCATTCATGAAGAACTAGCATGGCTATTGTCAAGTGAATTATTACTTATCAGTACTATACTAGTTTTTACTCCTTAAAGATCCCAACATTTTCAAAATTTGCGCTTCTGAACATTACTTGAACCCAATGGTCAAGTTTTGGAGTTTTTATTAACATACCGTCTCTTCGTTTCTTCTATTCAGGTCTTTTCTTATTTCAATTTTCTTATCATAATTAACACGCTGGCTTTGCAAACCACGCACACACGTCACGTACAATGCTAGTGGGAAGAAATATAGTATTTCTGTCATCAGAATAAATAATTATCGAAATAAATACCAGTAGTTTTTATTTTTATTTTTTTTGATAACTTATGGTATTCGGGCCAGTTTGTGTGTCTACGACTAATCTTTGGACTCATTGAACATCCTGCATGGCTCAGGTAGACAAATAAGACATAACGGGAGTGACGGACGTGCACGGAGAGAGTCAAACCCAAATAGTCATCGAGCAAGCCCTCAACCGTTAAGTTACGACCTCGAGCACCAATAGTTTTCGTTATTGTGAAGCTATTAAGTTAGTCCAGATGTCATGCTACAAAAGTTATGTAGGTTTTGTACCAACGTAGGATGCTCTCTTTCTCTCTAATATGACACTCAGGCATGCAGGAAATAAATTTAGTATCGAATTATCTATCGTTAGATAACCATTAATTGGTTGCATTTGCATCAAAGAATTGCTGCTTTTTCTTTGGATATAAAATTAAATATGGCTTATCTATCTAATATTATAGTGATGTAGGACGGTCTCTTTTTATGTTTTTCATGGGAAATCTTGCCTGATTATGTTGGAAGCGCGGAACTTGAACTATGCTCGTTCCTCTCGTGGCTACATTATAACATCCCATAACGAGAACATATATTTTTTCCATAAGTCACAACAATTGATTTATATTGGCAGGTCAACATATGCCTTATGTGCTAATTTCAGCCTACGAATTGTTTAAACATATAAATCAATTGCTTTGGTTTAATTAGCTTTATTTGGGTACATATATATCAGGTCTACACATGCTATTGTAATACCTAATTGCCACATTTCTGGACCGGTGTTGCTGTGCTTGCTTATTTCTAGTAAAGGTTTCCTTTTGAATTACTTTATAAGGTTTTAAATTACTGTATGCTATTCTAGTTTGCTTTGCCTGATGCTTGCTGTCTTTTAGATCACCTAGCTCTTGCAATTGGTTCTCAAGTTGGTCTATTGCTTTGTGCATCCAAGGCTGTTGGGTCTCCTTGCATGCATAATACCAAAATTTTTTTTATTTTTATTTTTTGAACATTGACTATGAGTGATATCCTAGGTTGAGACAGTTTGTACAATAACAAATATTTTGATTATCTCACTTCAGTTGGGTTCCTTAATTAATGAATTTCAATTACTTGCTAAAATTGGTTTCGAACTTTCAAGTAAGTTCTCTTGTGAGAAGTGAAGCTGGATAGAATACGGTCTACTGATTACATATTCACAGCAAAAATCAGTAGTTTTTTGTATCTTACTCTTATTGATATTTCTTGTCCTTTCATACTCTGCTTTCAACTATTTAAGTTACTTAAACTTGTCATTTAATAACCTATCAGGTCATGCTCCACTAGGGAATCCCAGAAAACCATCTATATTGGCAACAATGGACTTTCTGGGCCTCCACTAAAGGGCTTCCCTGAAGATGTTTCATCCTCAGAAGGTCATGAAAGAATCGAGGACAAGATTAATGGTGAACCGGAAGCATTAATGAAGAAGAAAGATTATTGTTGTAATTCTTGGGATATTAACTTCTGACTTGATTCCTTTCTGGTATAGTTCTGATTCTGGTTTCAATTTCTAATTTCAGGCTCTATTAATTTGTAATAAAAGCCATGTTTTTTAGTGCAAGTGCTAATTTTTGTTCTTACAGGTTCACCCTCGCAACAATGCATTGGATACAAAGCATCGATTTTGAGGAAAGTGTTCTCATCATAAATGACTTGTATTTGAATGGGAGAGGAGGATGGATTACAAGCTGTGGTCTGCATTACAGGATCATCTACCTCATGCCAAGGCTTTCATTACGAGATTATCTTTAACTGGTTAGTGGAAACTAGTTGAGAACAAGGGAGTGAATATTGATCTGGTACTTTTAGATTGATTATGCTCTATATCAGTAAAAACATTCATTTGTGTATCAGTTGCTCTAAGCAATGCATTTCTTTACATTGCGGCCAGCTGAATGTGGAATATCAAATGCCTTTTTCCAAAAAAAAAAAAGTGCATAATAGGACTCAGTCTTCAGATTAGGAGAAAACCGAGTAAAAACACTCAAATTCGTGTTATAAATGAGTTCCCTGTCAAAAATGTTTACATTAATTCATGTCTTTAATGACTAGCCCATGTAGGTCTTTAATGACTAGCCCATGTAGATTTGGCCAATAAAACGGGACGCTAACATTTGTTTGGGCTTTTAGACGCATGGGCTTGCGTCGAGGAAGAAATCTCAACAGCAACGCTGCTGACGCTGGCCATTACGTCGTGGAAGAAATCTCAACAGCACCACTGCTGACGCTGGCCATTACGTCGTGGGCTTCGCTTAAGAAACGTAAATGCGTCTCTAGTGGTATTAATTAACGTCTCTAAGAGCGCTTTTTTCTTTTTCTTTTTCTTTTTTTGTAGTGAATATAAAAAGGGTCAGCATTATGAGGGATTTTTTTTCGTTGGTAGGTCCGTGAGTTGTAAACAACACAGCAAATGGTAGTGTTTTATTTGAAGTTACCAGAACATTGAGATGGATAGACGTGAACTGACTGAGACTTGAGTTTCTAAAAATAGCTCGATAGTTCTTTAACCTCAAAAAAATTCCCACTGTACCTAAATGAAGCATTGATGAAAGGTAAAACCAACTCCAAATGAATCTAACAATTTCTGGACTGTCTGCTTTACCACAGTTTCAGCATATGATATGATACACATCCACTTCTTTAGCTCCAGGGCTTCCTTCCATTGGCTGGGAACTAGATCATCGTTAGTACTGTAGAATTTAGAGTTTCGTTCACTCGTACAAAGAGCAATTGAAGGTGATACCTTAGACAGTAATGAATCTTTCAAAGCCAGAACAGACATTTTTGAAAATTGATCCAGTTACAGAGGGGTAAACTGGGGGGGTACCTCCTATGGTTTGTTTTGTTTTTCACAAATACGATCACAGTAAAAGGTATAAATATTCATATAAAGGTACTAAAAGATGTTTTTAGTGCAACAATAAAATCTGATCAGGATCCATTTGTTAAAAGTTGCCACTACTAGAAATTCATTGGGTTTCAAGGAGTTTTGGTCTACGATAAATCATGTTCATAATGAGTTATGCCCCACTTTCAGCACCCACAAAAAAACTTCAAGTACTTTTCAAGTAAAGATCTCACCCTCGTTTAAAAGATCCATATGACAAACCCCTATACGAAGAAATAATTGTCATTGTCGGCCAATTATCCCTAACTTAATGTCAACTCAATGAAGTTGCTACTGTCGACAGAACTGGTGAATATCACCTCTAACTTGGTATTGTGCAGACGTCCAATTGTTTTCAATATTTCTATTGCTTACACAAATGTGGAAAATGAAAGAAGGTACATGCCATCGGCTTTTACAAGTGATGAGAAAGAAGGATAACTACTTCTTGAAGTCAAGGGAACTTAGGCTCCGGTCATTTTGATTGACAAAAACTCTCTATTGCTACGGAGGATAGGATAATGTCGATATTGGTCCCAATATTGATTTGATTCGCAATTATTGAAGGGGTCCGTCCAACTTGTTACATACATCAACTTGCCTATTAAATCTTATTCGCTTCGGATGCTAATTTTTTTTTCTTTTTTCTTTTAAATTCTCAAAATATCACAAATTTAAAATTTTAAATTAATTTTTCATTATTCGATCGAACACATAAGACGAATATATCTAAGCATGGAGTTTTTGATATTCACAGGAATTCGATTCCAAAAACTCTTATTTAAATAATTAAAATTCTTTCCACAAACCAATTTTTTTAGTTCTAATTTTTTTTTAAAAAAAAATAATTAGAACTAAAAAAAAAAAAAAAGCTGTTTGTTGGCTGTGGTTTGTATTGAAGGTACAAGGTTCTGGGAGCTTTTTTTTTTTTTTTTCTGAAAAAAACGAAGGCTTGTATAGACTTTTTTTGGTGATCCAATTACCTGGGGTGTGTTAGAATTGATTGAGCTACTATATATTTGATATGTTATTCTTTTGTTGATAGAACATTAAAGTTTGCAATGATACTGAAGAGTGTTTGGGATTAAAGTTGAGAATTCGTCAAACTTATATTGCCCTAATTATGGAGAAAACTTTCTTCTCTTCACTCGATCGTAGACATTTGTGGAAACATTTAACACATTGTTTGTATATGATTGTTTTTCCTTTTTGTTTTTAAATTTATTATATCACTTTTCATTTCATGTTTAAGGACTGTGCTTTATACAGAATGTGTGAGTCACTTCTACATAAAATTAATCATTAAATGACTTCCCAGGCATGCATTATGTTCATGTATTAACAATTATTTTCGAAACTTCACTGGCCCATTTTGGTTTAAGTTTAATTATTCTCAAATATTTCTGTTGTGTTCATTAAGGTTATTAAATAACTCCTAACCCATATAGTGCCTTATTGAGACTGTATTTTAACTATCAAAACTCAAAAAATGCTTAAAAACAAGTCAATAAAAACTAATGTTATTTTTAGATTAAAAATAATAAAATAGCACCGTGAAAATATGTAATTATTTAAGTAATTAATAAAACTAAAATTAGATACTGAAAACAAAACATACTTGATACATGTATAAAAATCAGTGCTTTGATTTTCTGATATATAAATCTCTTAAAACATCACGATACAAATATATATTATTTTGATTTGTACGGACGGCTATTAATAAATTAGTGCAGATTTCTTGTTGATTAGTATTCCTAATGTCTCTCATGATAGATGTATAAATCCTAACTATTGAAAGATAATTCAATGTATGTTCGTAATTTTTATTTAAATGTATTTGAAAATTCAAGAAAACTAATTTATCAATAAATTATAAAAAAAATTTAAGAAAAATATTCAAATTTTAAAAATTCATTTTTTAATTAGATAAATATTTATATTCGTTCATGTACAAATAATTCATCAAAATCCATCGAGAATGAGAAAATAATATTATAAAACAGTTACTAAAAGAATACTCCATTGTTGATTAAAATCGGTGACACAGGGAGAGAGCATTAGCAAGAATCAAAATATGCATCACTTCAGTGAGACTTCTAATACAAGTGTCCAGTTAAATTTATGTCTAGGAAAAGAAGAGGGAACTTTCTATCGTACGACTCATTACAAAGCACATTTATGCCTCTTAAGTCAATAAAGTTGCGGCAACATTTATAAAATAATCCAATATTGTCCAAGGTGTATGCATGCTTAAACCTTCTTCTTTTTTTTCATCTTTTCTTTCCAGAAAAAATAAAATATTATATACATGAACGGAAAAAGCTGGTTGAAGTTACTCGAACAACCCCTGAAATTTGGATGCAAGTTCAGAAAATATCGATTGAATCCTCAACTGACAACCCGCATTGGCGCACTATAGGAGTAGAGAAATCGGACCCACCAAATCTCACACTGAATATAAAAGGGGAAAAAAAGCGAAGAGAAAAGGTTGGCCAGCAAAACATAATACTCAAAACTCTAGTTGTATTCAATTACTAAGACAGTTAAGAACACAACATTGTTTTGCATGACTGGGTTAAATTAATTAGAGAACACTGCTCTTTACATCCAAAGTCCTCTTAATTCCATTCCTTCCCTTTTGAAGTTTTTCTATCTTTCAAAGGAAAAGAAGTATTGAGTATTAATGAGCTAGCACTAGAAAGATTAAACTAGTTATGTCAACCCTCTTTTTAAGAGATTGATGGGTCAATAATACAAAACATGAAGACCCACCAAATCGCACTTCAACAACCCATATCTTAGACCTAAGACTTTGAACGCAAGAAAATAGAACCCCCATTACACCTGTTCCTTGCCCCCTCCATTTCGTACACATTTCAACATCCTTTCTTCGCAATTTTAGCTTATAGCTTAGGTCAGCTCAGCTCAGCTCTAGCTTAAGATCATGATAGTTAAATGACCAAAATGCCCTTTGTTTTTGTTGTAATTACGATCGAGGACGCAGAACATCAAACGGCGTCGGTCCGCGAGTGATCGGAGCAGCTGGAGCCCATGGGCTGATGGGGGTGGGCCTATGATGATGGGCAGGACCCATATGGGAGTGCGGCCTACCATCAACGGTCGATGATGGAACCCCAACACGCTCACACGATGGGCACATGGTGAGGGTGGTTGGTGGGGTCATTTGCATGTAGAACTGTGGGGAAAGTTTCAGTGCTCTAAGCTCCTGAACTTCCTTTTGCAACCTCCTGTTCTCGTCCGTTAGGTTCTCACAGCATCTCTTCAAGAACTCACAATCAACCTCAGTTTGCTTCAGCTTGGTTCTGCAAAATTTAACACTTTAATGTAAATAAAACAACTCATGAACGTTACACAAAATATATATCCAAATGCAGAAAATACCCTTGATAAGATAAGGGATTATCTCACCTTGCCCTTCTGTTCTGAAACCACACCTCTACTTGTCTAGGTCTGAGTCCTAGCTGTTTAGCCAAAGCCGATTTTTGCTTCTGTGGAGACGAAAACAACAGATTGTCACTTTCAATTACCAAAATACCCTCCAAATAGTATTCCGCAACTAGCTACAACAAAAACTTTTTTGTTGCACTGTTTGGTTGCTCAGAAAACTCGGGAAAACAATCAATATTTCCTTGTTTTTGGCTCACGAGAATCGAGAGAAAAAATGCCATTCCAAACTCATTTTTTGTCCACTTTTCTTCCATTTACTCAGCAATCAAACAAAAAGTTTGCAGTTTAGCCGCACAAAAAAAAAAAAAAAAAAAAACTTACCGGGTTGAGAGTGTTGTGTTCTTTAAAGCTCTCTTCAAGAATAGCAGCCTGATCTTTAGAGAGCCTGAGCTTCTTTCTAGAGGTATCGCCGTCTTCTTCATCACTGATTCCACGAGAAGAAGCTCTCTCCATCTCATGCTCCTCTCCATTAATCCCTTCTCTTTCGCTTCTCTTTCCACTTATACTCGATATCGTGCTGTTTGGAGATGATGCACCGGCTTCCTCTTCACAATCAGCAGTTGATGGTAACCTGTTCACGTCGATTCCTCGAAGGAACGATCTTGTCTCGGCCCGGAATAAATCAGAGTTTGGATCTGCATGAGAGAGATGAATTTGAGTTTGAAATGGCGCTTGAATTTGTCAAAGATGAAAAGGTAGAAACTTTGTGGGTTTGGATCTAAAAAAAAATAAGAGAAGGGATTTGGGTTGTGTGAATAGAAGAGAAGTTGAGTGAAAGCGATTGATAAAAGTTAATATAACATGAAAAAAGAAAAGCAAAATAGAAAAAGAACGCTTATTTTACTTTATTTGAAAAGAGAAAGAAATGAGAATCCATTTAAAAAATAAAATGCTTTATACTGTGTTTGTTTCTTGGGAAAGTGAGGGAAAGGGAAAGAGAAAATAGAAGAAACAAGGCTGGATCTAAAACTTGTGGCCAAGCGGATCTTGAGTTTATCAGTCAACAAAAAAAAAAAAAAAAAGATAACAGTTTTTTATAAAAGAGAAAAGGGCATACCTGAAGAAGGGAAGGTTACATTCCATAAGGGTTTTTGAGGAGTGAACCCAGAAAGAGAAGAAGAAGCGGTGGATGGAACCAGTGAAGGCATGAGATTCAACTGCAGAGAATGTTGATTTTGAGGAACACTAAGACTCAAACTCAACCCCAAATCTTCCTTCTCAACCATCATCTTCTTCCTTTGTGCTAAAAAAACAAATAAACTCTGCTATTTATATAACTTAGTTCTATGTATAAATGGCCAGGAAACTAAAAGCTTAAAGAGTTCAGCTCTTTCTGTTTTGGCTTTGAGAGAGAAGGAGTTGATGGGTACATAAGACTGAATGAGGATGGGGTTTGGAAGAGAGTGCGTGTGAGGGATTATATAGAAAGGAGAGAGGGGTGGGGAGTGGTGGTGTGAGTAAGTTCAATGATGACTTCTTGTCAGAAAGGCTAATTATCTCAATCATGGCTTTTGCCTCCCCATATAATAATACCTAACTTCGTTTCCTCCTTTTACCATGCCATGGTAAATGGGAACGTTTTTGGTTTTTAGTTTTTGGACGCTGTGTGTGTGTGTGTGGACAGACTGTCAAAGGTTATCTGCTGATTGACTATGATGTTAAAATTGTTGACTATATCAAAAGCTAAGTTGCAAAATATAGACCATATAATAATTGATTCGAGTGATTTGGTGGCGTGGTAAATGGATTGCCATTAATATTTTCTTTTGGTGTTTATCTTCGGTATAAACTTAACCCAAAACTCCATCCTTTAATTAAGTAGTTGCCAAAACCATAAATATTATCAATTAGGTTGATTTTAATGGAGAATATGAATGTATCTCATTTTGGGTCTATCCAATCCACTTTCTTGTTCATAATAATTAAAATAAAATCTTATTTAAAGTAATGAAATATTTTATACTTCCTTTAAAAGAAATAAGTATGCACTCTGCCAAGCCTATATGTGGTATCTACCATATTATTTACATTCAAGTCCGAAAGCTGTCAATTCTAAAGAGAGATGAACATCTTTTGGCAAATAAAATATAATAAATGATGGTTTCTAGTCAAAATTCATTTATTTCAGTAGTTTTCACACCATAAATGATCCGACTCCAGAAATTTCAAGCCCAGGAAACCTGAACCTCATAAATTTCCCATCCTCTTTTCAGTACCTCGTACTCTTATTTACGCGTAATGCTTTCCTCACCTCGTACCCTGTGTTAAATTACCATCTTAATTCGTAAATTTAAATATAATTTATATTATTTTTAACATATTTTTTAAGTAATTCAATTTTACAGTATCTTATATTTAATTAATTAAAAAATAAACATAATAATATTCGAATTTATAATTATTTAATCATCAAAACTTTTATAACTTTTATACTATATCAAAAGATATTTTTAATTTATAAATTTAAACTATTGAATAAGATCGCATAATATGAATCTTATTATTTTTTAATATTTTAATTTGTGTTTAAATCTTAAATTAGCATCTTTAAATAAGCACTGTTAAGAAGAAATTAACTTAATACAATAACGATGCAAGCATTTCCTTCATTGTTTGTGTAACAAACATCATCGTTTCATATCCATGAATGCTCTCAACTTTGCTTCGTCCATTCGATGAATAATGGAATAGCCATCACCATTAATTTAATCCTTGCAATTTTAGTGCAAACATGATAATTACAGTAGATTTGATATATAATTTAGTAGGGTTTAGTTCAATTAAAAAAAAAAAAAACAGAGCTTTCTTTCTTTTTCTTTTTGGACAATTACAAATAGTTTAAATCTAGCCAAATCAAAATTCAAAACTAAATTATTGCTGGGAACCATAGATAGGAATTGTAAGTTTCGCTGCTCTCTTATTTACAACCCGTAATTATTGACATATTGGATTTTACATTTACCAAACCTCCAAACTTTAAACCGTATCAGAATATATATATATAAGATACGATTTTCTTATATTTAATTTAGATAATCACTTTAAAAGAGTGACTGGATGAAATAGTAGGTTAATGTATCCATATTTTTTATATATATTAGACTTACTCTTTTATATAATCATTTTAAGAATTTTTCACTTACATATGTCTTTAAATATTCATATTTTCTCTATTTTTGGACAAAGATATCCCTCAAACTATCAAAAAAACAATATTTTAAATAAATAAATAAAAATTAATTCGAAAAAACTCTACAAAATTTGAGAACAAAGAAAAATAGAAAAATTAAAACAAATCAGAAAAAAATAAAAAATTTATAAACATAAAAACCTGAAACATATCCCAAAAATATGAATTAAGCCATAAAATACATATCTAAAAAAAAAACATAGAAAACAATGAAAAATTATAAAATTTCATGTTTTACAAAACTTATTTTATTGTTATACACATATTTCTACTATGGGTTCTACAGACATGATTTTTTTTTTTAACAAGTCAGTTTCAATTTTTGGATCCTTTTTGAGTTTTCATATTATAGGACTTTCAGGGTTTTTTTTAAAAAAAGAAAATTTTACGATATTTTTTTTTCTTAATTTTTATAAAACACGTTGAAAATCAATTTTTATTTTAAGGGTTGGAGGGTGTTTTCATCCACAACGTGGCAAAATGACATATGAGAATATATATATATATAAAGGCATACGAAAGTAAAAATTCTTAAGATGATATATGGAGAATATATCCAATATATACGGATAGAATGATGAATTAAAATAATTTACTTAATAAATAAATCGGATTCTTAATACCTCTGGTCGTAGTTGAATGATTTTACAAATCTGAACCACCATACAGTTCACATACTCATCCATAATACTGCATGTGAAATATTTTAGATTCGTATGGTTATTAAACCACACCTACAATTAGAATTATTATAAAAAAATGACACCTCATTTATTTATTTATTTTTAACAGGATTTAAAAACTGCAACATACCCATTTTCATCTAACTCGAGATTAGATAACATTACAGAAGCTTCTTGAAAATAAATAACTAACAAATCTAAAAAAACATGTATATGATCATGATTAAGTAAAAACATAACGATTATTTCTCAGAAAACACGATAAACTTGACCATCCTAAAAATACTATAAAAGGAGCCTGAAAATCTAGAGAATGACTCGTTTTGTGATGAAATAATTGCAATTGTTTCACCAAGGTAGTTACACAAATTTGATATTTGCACATGGCAATGAATGAAAAATTCAATCCAACCTTTATTCACCCAATTTAATTCAAATCTTGTATGGAAATTGGTTCGAAACAATCTTCAACCCCAACCGCTCGCCCTCTCTATCTGTTAAAAACATGCATATTACAATTCTTCACAACACTACGAACATGCCAATTGCCAAACAATGCCTCACGAGTTATGAGAAATTTTATAATATTTAAGAAATAATTTGTAACATAAATGATAATTATTTTATGAATTTATTTTAAGAAAAGAAATAGATATATATAAAAAAATCAGGATAGAGAAAAAAATTTTTAAAATGAACAAACGAAAATTTTTTTTATCATTTTTTATGAATTAAGATGTAATTATTATATATATAATTAATTACTTATTGAGTATTATAAAATTTATCAAAATCTTAAAAACCTAATAAATCCTAAGTTAGCGCATGTAGTTTACCCTCAGCTTGGACCCGAATCCCAACTACACAAAAAACGCAAAGATACACGTCTCCACAATCTACAGCATTAACAAGGCGGGGCCATTCCACACCTGAAAGCACCTCGCGCTCATCACGTTCCTTCCAATTAACCAGCGACTATGATCAAGTCCAGGATAAAAACCAGCGGTTAATATCTAAAACTTGATGATAAGTAGTGTCATCACATCTAGTGCTCATTACACGATTAGGGAAACCCAATTAAGTTTGCTACACAACCATCAAATCAAAGCGGATGGTGATGATTGGAAGCAGACAGACCAACTTTTGTTTTGATCATCACGCGTGGGACCTACATTTTCCCCAACCCTCCTCCCTCTTATCTTTCCGAATCCAAAAACCTTTCCTCATGCGATTTGCACGAGGACGGTGTTACCGGACAAAAGCGTCGCTTTCGTAAACTTTTCTAATAATGTTGTTCGAGCTTTTCATCTGCAATAGAGCAATCCTCTGTCGACTTAGAGCGCGTGTTCCGCACCTAGCACTAATTGCCCTGATTTGCTTATCTTAATTCATAAATCGCGTTGTTAGGGTAGTAGAGTAGAGAGTACGTGCACGGGTGGATCTAATAATTGTATAATTTATCGAGATGGCTGAGATCTGAAACCGTTTTTCGGCTTCAAAATCATGACTTCGTGACAAAATGATTCTGTTAAAGCCGTCGAATCTAATGTGTTTTAAAAAACATTTTAGAGAGTTTTATAATCTAATCTATTCACATAATATATTTCATATTTGATGGATCCATACCATGGTTATGCTTTCAGAAATAAATGTTTTGTTTATATCGAATATAGAACTTTAAACTTTATAATAATTATTATATTAAACAATTTATTTGAACAATAAGATTAATTTTCATTTTTTTTATTTAAAGTAAATAATTACAATCAGTTTAAAATATCAATAGTATAAACCTAGGCTATTATGTTGTAATTAAGTAAATCTTTCAACTTATAACTTTCAGTTAAAAATATTTATTGTGGTTGAGGCTTAAAAATTGACAAAAAAAAAAAAAATAGTACATAGATCTCTAAAGAGTTTTGGTTAAAAAAAAATCATAACAATTTAGGTTGTAAAATATTTACTTGCTTAAACATATATAATTTTAAAAATAATAAAACAGTAAATGTCTAACAACACATGGTGAATTCTTATTTATGATATCATAGAATGTAGTAATTTTGATTGTGAAATTAATTGTCAAGTGATCGTGTTTATTTTTTATTAGGTAAAGCAAATATATATGTCATTGCTAGTTATAATTCAAGAAAAAAGTGTAAGAAATATCTTTCGAATGAATAAATCAATACAGGTTAATAACTTGTCTAAAACCTAATTAAAAAGTGATTTAGAATTTATACGACTAATTGTTTAAAATCTAAGGGCATATTTTTATAACTTTTAAGTATGCATACTGTTTTAAATATTTATGTTTTATCAATAATGTTTGATTAGTTTTTGTTTTTTCCTTTTT